CCAGAGCAGAGCAGAGGGGCAGAATCCCCTCCCTTGCCCTGCTGGCCACGCTGCTTGTGATGCAGCCTAGGAAACAGTCGGCCTTCTGGGCTGCCAGCGCACACTGCCAGCTCATGTCCAGCTTTTCATTCATCAGTACCCCCAAGTCCCTCTCGGCAGGGCTGCTCTCCATCCTTTCTTCCCCCAGCCTGTGTTGATTCCTGAAGATATCTGGGTGCAAAGAGCCTCCTTGTACCTTTTGCAGCTATGTTGTTGGCTCACATCAACCTGGCACCACCAACGCTGAGCCTGACCACATTTAAAGCAGTCCCCGAAATAGCAGGTCTGAACCTTGAAGCACTCAAATGCCAAGGGTCTGTTGTCTCATTCCCAGGTTTATTTGTCCCACCTTAGTGCAGAGGCTCACCGGCAGCGGGAAGGAGAGACGCACCGACCTGCTATTCCTGGATCGGCAGCAATCACCTTTTGCCTTTTGCAGCAGGATTTCAAGACTGACAAGTGTTTCTGAAAGCCTGACCGATGAGGAAAGGTGGGAGAAACGGGGCTTTGCATCATTTCAGAAGGAAGGTGGCTAAGGAGCAACCCGATAACAACCTTCCCAAAAGCTAAAGGTTGTTACAAAGAGGACATTGATCAATTGTTCCCCGCGTCCGCTGGGGATAGGCTGAGAAAAACTCCACTTCATTTGCAACAAAGAAGGTTTAAGTTAGATATTAGCTATACATTTTCTAATTATAAAGGTAGCGAAGCAGTAGAATAGATCGTCTAGGGAGACTGAAGAACCTGCTTTGTTAAAGATTTTCAAGAATAGCTTTCACATGTGTTTGCCAGCGATGGCTCTGCCTCGTTGCAGGGGGACAGGCTAAATTAGCTCTTGAGGTGCCTTCTACCCACCTATTTTGGGATCTCGGCCATCCACACAGCCAACCTAGAAATAAATGTGCGGCGCTTCCCTTGCTGCAGCGTGGACATCCTTGGCTTCTGGTGGTTTCTGGCTGATTCTCTCCCACTGCCTTGGGGGACCATCCCCAACCCTCATACCCCAAAGGAAGCTCCTTCTCCCACCCCTAATCCCACTTCTGGTTTTTGCTTTCCCCCCCAGCGCTTCCTCCAGCAGCCCTTGGCAGACACCAGGGATGCCCCAGCTCCTCGCTCCTCCCCCATCCATGGCTGATTCCCAGCAATATTCCCTAAACTTGGGGAGAAAGAGGGATGCCTGGCATGGGCTGAGGGTGCCAATACGCACCCACCACACCTGCCTGGGGGAGCAGCAGGCTGCTGAAATCCCAGTTGGAAGGGGAAGAGCTCCTTGCCCCCCATGGCCAGTCCCTTTGGAGAGCGCAGCCTGCCCCGGGGCACGATTTAATTGCATCCTGAGAGGCTGGGGGGCTCCTGCCTCCAGAGCTGTGCCCCCAGGCCCTTTTCTGGTGCAGCAAGGGAGAAGTCAGGACCTGCTCAGAGCAACCTGCACACCTCCCTCTCTCTGGCTGCACCTGGACTAACCCTGTTGAAAAGGGGAGATCCCCTTCCCCACTGCCTCCCACCCCTTCTCCTTTCCTATCAGGCTGTGGGAAGGGGCCAGAGGTCCCACAGCCACACGCTGAACTTGGCACATCCCTGGAATCTGGCGCCTGGACACCCTGCTTTCCTGGGAGGGAGAGGTAAGCACTGCTTCCCACAAGCTGAACGCCTTTCAGCACAGGATTATACCAGCTTCTCTATTTATTGGGCCCGTTTTCCAAGGCAGGAGAGTTAATCCTGGCACCTCAGCCACATTTTAATCAGGGTCATTAAGGCAGGCTTCCCTTGAATTGGACACGATATTCACTTCCATGCCCTGCTCCAGCGCGTTGCTGCATATTTAGCTCTTGCCACCTTCCACTGGAGAAAGGGCTGGGAGAGCCAAGCCATAGCGCTTGAAATTAGGGGGGCCACTCCTGAGAGCCGGTATTTCTGTTGGCAGCAGCGAGGATGTCCAGCCCGTTGTAGGACTGAGCCCATCACTGAATCCTCCAGGGCTTAACTCTACTGCTGCAAGGAGTTAAGATATGACCTTTTCCTCCGGTACCCAAACACCTCTTCCTAATGATATAGCAAGACACGGGAGGGATGGACCTGGATGTCTGGCGATACGGGAAATTTAGGTCAGGAAAGAGGCATCAGCAGAGAGACGACAGAAATTGTCCTGCATCACCCCGGCGCCTGATAGCGACTTCAGAACTTGTGGGTGATCGACTTTGGCTTAAGAAACTCAGGCAGGTATTAACAGATTGCAAGATAAACAGCAAGGACCTGGGCTGGCAACGCATCCGCTTTCTCTCTGCGGCTAATGGAGATGGAGAAAGTCCAGCTCTGTTTAGCTTGCTCGATTGCTCGAAGAGGGAAGAGAAAACGGAAAGGAAGGAAGGGGGGGGAAATAAAGGCCCCGGGTTTGGGTTTTTCCCCCCCCTTCTATTCATTAGGCTGTCAATAAGGCTCAGGCCTGGCATATCGACGGCGGATTAGCTCAACCTGACTCTGTGTACAAGACCAATGCCTTTTTAACCCAGCTTGTTTCCAAATCAATACACCCATCAGCATTCGAAAATTAGCCCGAGATGAGATTCCAATACTCAAGCTGGTGTGTCATGCTAAGAGGGCTCCCGGCCAAATCACAGAAGAAGAAGAAGGAGGAAAAAAGGTTGCTAGCAAGGGATTAGAAATTTTCCATTAATCTTCCCCGAGGCTGCCTCCCTAAGAGCACAGCAGGCCCCCGATGTCCCACCACGCAGGCTACCCCTTGCCCAGCACACGTCCCCGCCGAGGCCCGCAGCACGGGCACGGGAGCGATCTTGCACGAAGGTCCATCTGCTTGACCATCGCGCGTGACAACGCTTCTATGTCCCCCTCGAGAGCCCGCATGTGCTCGCCCACTCGCTGGAGAGCAGCACATGTGCACCCTGTGGACTGTGCAGCCTTGGCGAGGCGCGATCCCGTGCCAGCGAGCGCAACGCTTGGCCACCCCAAGCACTCCACCACCCTGGGCCAGCCTTCCTCCTCCTCCTCCTCCCAGAAGTATGGAGTTTCAACACACAACCACATATTGTAGCCAGGCACACACACACCACCGCAAAGTATACAAATCTGCCAGCTCGCTCTTTTCCCCCAACACAAGTTTTACTTCAAGGGTTGCCTCCAGCATGGAAAACAAAAAAAAAACCACCATCAAAATACAACAACAACAAACAAAAACATGGGTTTGCCAGTGGGAAGCAGAGCTGGCTGTACCAGAGCCCCATGACTACTCCAGAAAGTTGGATAAATGCATTGCCCGGCTTCACTGGGACTCTCCGAGCCTGTCGATCGGCCTCCACATTTGCATCAAGTTGTCTTACAAGCTCAGCGTAGGAGCAATGGGAGGAGAAGACACCAGAAAGTTGGATAAATGCATTGCCCAGCTTCACTGGGACTCTCCGAGCCTGTCGATCAGCCTCTACGTTTGCATCAAGTTGTCTTACAAGCTCAGTGTAGGAGTAATGGGAGGAGAAGACACCAGGGCAGATGGGAGGGAGCAGAAATCAAAGCACCAAGCACAAAGCACCTTCACGAATTCCCTTCCTCTTACCTTGCACGATGAGATGGACACGCGATGTCTTGGGGTGATTGTCTGTCTGCACGGAGCAGGTGTAGGGGCCCTCATCGTACACGTCCACATCTTGGATCTGGATGCTGTACTGGGTTTTGGTGTTGGCCAAGAGCACCACCCGAGGGTCCAAGCACCACTTGTCATTGCCGGCATAGAGGATGCTGCTGCGGGCCAGCGCGGCCCCCAGGGTTTTTCGGTTATCCACAGAGCAGCTGGGGAGAGGCAGAGAGGTGACCCATCAGCGCTTCTCTTGGGCACTCTGCCCTCCCTTCCCCAGCCCCTCCTGGTCCTCCTGGCACTATTTTTAGCTTTGCTGCCAGCAGCAGTTTCAGAGACCAAGTGCTTTCAGTCTCCAAAGAGGACAATGTCAGCACTTTACCTACGGTGCCCAGGGCACCGATATCCATCTAAACTGGTGGCTCCAGAGATTTGCCCAAGAGCTTCACAATGATTTCAGACACAGAGAGGTCAGAGCCACCCAGCACCAGTCACCAAAGGACCTTTTGCTCTTCTGTTCCCATTTGTTTCTTTGCAAACTCAGAGACGACCAGAGCTGAGCCAAAACCTCTGTCCTGAGTCCCAACCACACTTTTTTGGGGGGGATGCAGGTCACTGCCTCTGGCCCAAACCCATCACTTGTCATTCTCTCCACAGACCTTCAAATCCCTGCAGCCGGGCGCAGAAATGCAAAGCAGAGCTGGGAAAGCAGCTTCCGCTGCTTCACCAAGGAGCGAGGAAAATTTATCTCAGGAGAAAGCCAGCTCTGACACACCTCTAAAGAGAAACCTTGAGCTTCCGACCATTTGTCCCTTCTGTCAGCTCTTCCTTCCCTACCCATCATCTGCATGGCTGCATCTCCCTCACTTACCCCAGCCAAGCATCTCACCTATCAAGTGATGTTTTGGAGGCAGAAATCTTATATTTCCAGCCTCATTAGGAAACTGAGCCCCCCCCAGAAGACAACACAGCACAAACCGAGGAAAGACTTTGCTCCTTCAGGAGAGTATTTCCCTGTCCACCTTAGCAGGGGCCAGTCTTGCTCCCCTCAAAAGCCTCCGCCAGCCCTATAACCCTCCGTCCCCACGTCCCCAAGCAAGGTTTGAATCCTCCATTTCCACAAATCGCCTGCAGATGAGCAAAGAGCAGAGGGCCTGGAGGCTGCCGGCTGGCCAAGCCCTTCCCTAGGGCAGCAGAAGCCTGCAGCCTCCCAAGCCAGCTAAAGCCCCGCTTCTCTCCGAGCGAGTTTGGGATTACGGAGCCGTTAGGACTTAGCCGCGCTTTGGTAGACGCCAGCACCGGAGGATAATGTCCCTGCATAAACCCGCTCAGCCTCAGATCCACTGTTTATATGCTCCCCAATCTACTTCATTACTTGCGCAGTGGCTGGGATGCAAATTAACTTCGGAGGCACCAGAAAAGAGCAGGGCAGCCTCTGGGAGGTCTCGCACGGGGTAACCTCGATGAACGCAAGGGGCTTAATGGTCTGTACATGTCAGACGGCAGTAGCAGGGGAGTTTACAGCAAGGATGAATTTATCTGTGGCGTGCGCACCCCTCAGGGACTTACCCTGACGCTTTAGGGACTGTTTCTCCGGGTGAGCATACTGGGGCAGAGTCACCGAGTAAGCGGTACTAATTAAAAGCGACCTGCAAGACAGCTCGAGTCCTTGCCAAGGTTCATGCAGCCGTCCCCGGCCTCCCTCCCAGCATCTGCCCCTCTGCCTGATCGCTGCTGGGCTGCGCCCCTTCCCATCTCCACCACCGGTGCCAGTAAAGACGCAGGTACCCACCTGGGGACAAGCTGCCCGACCTCAGCTAGCCTCTTTTGGAAGTATCTCTTTGGCCCCAGTGACTACAGGAGATGCCTAAATACCCCTCTCAGCCTCAAGACACCGCATTGAATCCTGTGTTCAGTTTTGGGCCCCTCACTCCAAGAAAGACGTTGCGTTGCTGGAGCGTGTCCAGAGGAGAGCAGCAAAGCTGGGGAGGGGTCTGGAGCCCCAGGCTGCTGGGGAG